GTTTAGGGTTTAGGGTGTTCAGGTTTGGCAGGCAAGGGACCCTAAACACCAAATTAGCAGCCATAGCTGCAACAGCCTGTATCCAAAGCCCTTGACGCTTGAACTCTGCTGAACCCACAAGAGACGAACACCCCTACACTCCCAAATCCTAAATCCCTGAACCCGAATGCCAAACACTAAGCACACGAACCCTAAACCACTAAGCCCTAAACCACTATAAAGCTTCAACCCTGCACCCTGAGCTCATTCACCCTAAACACTAACTCAGCTAAGTAACCCTAAACCCTAAACCCCAAACCCTAAACCCTAAACCTAAGCCCTAAGCCAGGAAGCAGAAAAGCCGTGAGCCATGGCGGGCCCAGTGCAAGCGGCCGAGAGCGACGCCAACCGGCACATGCGAACGCATCCACTGTCGAGGCTTCGGGCTTTTAGGGCTTTAGGGGTTTAGGGTTTACAGTTTAGGGGTTTGGGGCTTTAGGCTTTAAGGTTTTCTGGGTTTCCAACTTGTTGGGTTCAGAGTTTCGGCTTTTCCCGCTGTTCGAGGCTTCAGCTCCTCTGGGCGCACGTGCAGAGCTGTGCCACCTCCCTGGTCTTCGCTGTGTCGCTTTGGATCTTCAGCCTTGGACATTGCCTGGTCTATTTGGTGGGACCCGAGCCTTGGGGTCAGCTGATCCTGGGTTGCTGTTAAGGAACACTAAACCGTAAACCCTAAACCCCTAACCCCTAAACCCTAACCCTATACTGGGAGGTATATAGTAAACTAGTACCGTAGTTTAAGCTCCTTGACAACAACCCAGGATAGAGTATGCGACGTGGGTTTGGGCCACTGGAAGCTTCCTGGTGCTGGGGACGCTGCTAGAGATCCTTGCCCGGGTTTCCGCGCAGGGTGGACCTGTGTGGCGGTGGCGGTCCTGGAGGCGGATGATGATTCCTCTCTGCCATCAGCTCGAGGCCTTAGTTCTCACTGTCATGATCTTCAGACTGGGCATGAGCATCTATCTTTTACATGTGGCTTTACGGGGGGGCGCCTTGCCGGTTTCCGTGTCGAATCTGGACAAGGCCACCGTGCTAATCCTCTGCGTCTATCGTGCCCTCCGCACTTGGGAGGAATTTCGTGGAATTTCGGTGCAGGAGACGCTGCACGAGAGAAGGAAGAAGGCAAGCATGAAGAAGCTCTGGATGCACGAATTCAAGGAGGCTTGGCAAGAGCACCGGGCACGGCAAGTGGTCCGAATCTTGGGCCATTGGGTTCTTTTGTTAATGAACGTAGTTTAAACCAAAACATATGTGTATGTATTTTATGCATGTATGTATATATATATATATGTATATGTATATATGTGTATATGGACAGCAATGTTCCTTAACATGGTAGCTTAGAGCACTCAGAGAGCCCAGGAATTCAACAAGTCTTGAACAAAAAGTGGGTACAGATGCTATTCTTCGTCTCCTCTCTCATCTACTGCGCCGTGGAGTTCTTCGCCTTCGTGCGTACCTCGGAGGTTCTTGGCTACGCGCTCCTCTTTGCTCTTGGTGCTGAGTTTCTTCTTCGAGCATGGGCTCAAGGTGGGCGGTTCTCGAATTTAGGTTTGGCATGTAGGTTGCAGGATGTAGAGCTTTAGGGTTTTGGGGTTTAGTGTCATGTAAGCCTTGCACGAGCAGTGTGCTCATCCGCTCAGTACCTGTAGCATGAAGAAAAGAATATGGTGCGGCTCTACGCTCCAACAAAGGGTTTCGTGTCGGGGGATCTATCACGAATTAAAACACTCTATAAAGCCGCGATGAGGATTGTTAACATGTAAGACCCTTTGCAAAAACCTGTTAAACCCTCAAACCTAAACCCCTAACACACACTCCAAAAACCTAAACCCCTAAACCCAAAACACCCTACATCCTACACTCTAAACCCCTAAGCCCTAAACCCCAAACCCTAAACCCTAAACCCCAAACCCCGAACCCTAAAACCCCTAAACCCCTAAACCCTAAACCCCAAACCCTAAACCCTAAACCCCAAACCCTAAACCCTAAACCCCAATGGGGCTGAAAAAAAAAACCTAAACCCTAAACCCCAAACCCTGAACCCTAGAACCTGGCTACTACCCAGGTGGTGAGCACTTCTTCCGGCCGTCTCTGAACAAGATGGAGACCCGGCTCTTCTTCTTAGGGGCTGGGGGTTTAGGGATCTTTAGGCTTTAGGGTTTAGGGTTTAGGGTTTGGGGTTTAGGGTTTAGGGTTTAGGGTTTGGGGTTTAGGGTTTAGGGTTTGGGGTTTAGGGTTTAGGGTTTTGGGTTGAGGGTTTAGGCGGGTTTGGGGTTCAGGGGTTCAGGGGTTTAGCGGTTTGGGTTGAGGGTTCAGGGATTCCGAAGCTTGGAGCTCGAAAGGTCCTAAATAAATCCTAAACCCTAAACTCATAATAAATGCAGTGGTAATCACCCTTGCGCCATCGCTGCGTCTAGCAACCTTAGACTCGCTCTTCCGCGTTGTCTCCAGAAGTTCGGTCATCCAGTTTTTTGAGGCAACAAATGGCTGGACTCTAAACCCCAAGTCCCACAGTAGACCGAAGACCATCGCCACAAAACCTGGTAGCCAGGTTATCTTCTTAGCCCGAGCTCAGTGAAAAGTCTAGACCGTAAACCAATCTGCCACGAGGAGTTCTGTGTGCTCGCGGCAGGGACTTGGTGCTTGTTCTATGCCACCTGGTACCTTCGTCTTGCGCAAGACTGGTGTTCCAGAGTTGGAGATGTTAGAGTTGCAGATTTTGAGTTTTGGGATAGGGTTCAGGGTTCGGGGTTTATGCTGCCGGGTCTACATGGAAGAAGTCAGCCTTCATGTTTTAGGTTCCAGGATTTTGGCGACAGATCTTAAATCCTGAATGCTGAACCCACCTTAAGGACGAAATGAACCCTTTAAAAGGGTTTAGGGTTCATATACCATATAGGGATTTATAGTATAAGGGTATAGGGCCCCTACTTTTAAGGGTCATTTCGTCAGCAGCGTAAGGTTCAAATTTCGGGTCCGGCTCGACACCGAGGCCTAGCAGGGTTGAAGGTGCAGGCTCTAGGCTGGCGCTTAAAGGTTTTAGGGTTTAGGGTTTAGGGATGTTTAGGGTTTAGGGAGGATGAAGGGCTTAAGGTTTAGATTGCAGGAGCGTGAAACATTTTTGGTACTACTGTCCCCTTATGGTCCCCAGTATGATGGTGCTAGAACGTACGCTAAGGCTAAAGCTTTAGTTTAATCATTAAAGCCCTCGTATTCCCCAAACCTCAGAGGTGCTATAGCCAAGAGGGTTTATATATACTACCATTATTGACTCAGGTCCCCAAAGCTTTTTGGGACCTAATTCCATACTGGTAGTCGCATGTAGAGATCCTTATAACCCCAATCCGCTTCCTCGTAGTTCTAGCTAGATCCTGGAGCCCTAAACCCCTAGCTAGATCCTTGAACCCTAAACCCCACCCCAACGCCTTGAACCCCAAACCCCAAACCCTAAAGCCTTGAAGCCTAAACCCTAAACCCTAAACCCTAAACCCCAAACCCCAAACCCCAAAGCCTTGAAGCCTAAGCCCTTATCTCCAAAGCCGAAAGCCCTGAACCCCCAAGTAACGAGCCCCGGGGCCTGGAAAATCCGTAGGGTTAGGATTAATATAGGGGCCTAAATAATTCATTGTAAATATAGTATAATGGGCCCCAAAGCCCTATTCTAATTGATTAAGGCCCCCTATATAAGGATCCTGCCGTTTAGGTTTTTACAGGGATTTGTTCACCAAGCAGTATATGGTAACGCCATGGGGTCCTTGCGAAGGAAGTGAACAGACTTGATCTCCTATAAATTTCAGCACATGGTGCACATCGGACGTCCTACTGTTTTCAGACGATTCGCCTGCCGCGTGCCCCGCAGGCTTCATATTCAATGCGATGTATAAAAACCACTTCGACCTCTCAACAAACCTGGAATCGGAGCACCGGAGCAGTACCTGAGGGAAGCGATTTCGGGTCGCAAGTTAAGGGGAAAGCATGAGTCGGGTGCTCCCGAAACGCGTCATGCAATACTTGGGGGGAAAGCGCGTTCGCGCTGCTCCTCGAGACGCCAGTGCTCGGGGTAGGCGATGTCGTCGTGCTCTCGACTGTGTCTGACTGATGCGTGGAGTAGATGCTGGGGCCTGTTCGCATGTGACAGCGGTGTTGACTTCCTGGTTCTAGTGGCACGCTTCTGTTCTTTCACCTGTTGGGAGGTCTCCGCTGGCAAAATCTGGTGCTTTATGGGCCTTCACCTGGCTTGAAAACCGCTTGATGGGGTTTCGATAAGGCGTTTGTAAATGATGGCTTTGTAATACTTTGTAGTTGTGTAAGGAGTCCCCAAGCAGCATTTCAGCTAGGGTTTAGGCGAAGGAGGCCTGCATGCCGCTTGAGCCCTTAGGGTTGAGGGTCCAGTGTTTCGGGCTCAGTATTTAGGGTTTAGGGTTTAGGGTTTAGTGCCAGAAGGTTTAGGGTTTGGGTTCAGGGTTTAGGGTTTAGGGCTTAGGGCTTAAAGTCCTTGGACCCTGGTCCCCAAATCCGAATCCCAGGTACACGCAGTATCTGGTTTCGTCAAAGAATGAGGCGACGGCATTTGCTACGGCGACGGCGGTGCTTCTGCTCATTCACCGCTGCCTTCGGCTACTGGGAATCCAGCCCCTGAGCTCTCTTCTTATTGTAAGGTTTAGGGTTTAGGGTTTAGGGTTTAGGGTTTAGGGGCCTTGATAATTAGATGGGGTCCTTATTATAATTCAAGTATAATAATATACCCCCCAAACCCTATTCTAATTTTTAAGGCTGCAATATAGTAGAATGCAACATACTTATAAAGACAATAGAATACTTTTCGAGAGAGAGAGCAGACCGGAACACGACACGAGGGACTTGCCCTAAACCCAGAGCCCCACACCCGACCCCGAAACCCCTAAACCCCTAAACCCCTAAAGTTTCGAGTTTGGGATTCGGTTTAGGCTTCAGGTCAGGGTGTGGGGCGTACCGTGATTTAGGGTTTACCCATGGGCCCTGAAGTAGTTCCTTTTTGGGGTTCATATATAATCCTAAACCCTAAACCCTAAACCCTAAACCCTCATACATAGAATCCTATAAGGTAACCCCAAAAAGGAACTACTATGGGGCCTATGGGTAGGGCCTCCAAGGCAGGAGCCGGTTTGCACGTGTAGCAAACGGTTTAGGGTTGTAGGGTTTAGGGTTTAGGGTTCAGGGTTTAGGTTTAAGGGTTTAGGGTTTAGGGTTTAGGGTTTTGGTTTAGGGACGCAAAAGCTTTACTGTGGGGCCTAGCTGCTTTCAATAATTTTATGCGTGAGATTCGTCGCGGAATTGCGGGGGTTGTATGGGTCTACTTGCCCTAAACCCAAAGCCCCCACCCCCGACCCCGAAACCCCTAACCCATAAACCCTATAGGCCTTAAACCCTAGACCCTAAACCCCCTGAACCCTAAACCCCAAACCCTAAACCCTAAACCCCCTGAACCCGGAACCCTAAACCCCAAACCCCAAACCCTAAACCCTAAACCCGAAACCCTAAACCCCAAACCCTAGACCCCAAACCCTAAACCGTTAACCCTAAACCCTAAACCCTAAACCGTAAACCCGAAACCCTAAACCGTTAAAGGCTGAAGATCTCTGCCAGCGAGTTTGACGCCGACTCTGTGGCCTCCTCCCTGGCTGTGCAGGTGGGCGAGGGCTGTCCCTTACAGGTCGAGGGTTTAGGGTTTAGGGTTTAGGGTTTAGGGTTTAGGTGGGCGAGGGCTGTCGAGGATGTCGGATTTAATGTAGGGGCCTTAATAATCAAAACGGGGCTTGGGGGTATATTATACTAGATTTATAGTAAGGAACCCCCAAAACCCTCTTAAAATTATCAAGGCCCCTACATTAGCTTAGGGGCCTGGTTAAGTCAGAGTTCAGTTATAATTTCATGTCGGATTCTACTTTAAGGGTGCCTCGCTTTCTGAAGCTTCCATCGCTTCATCCGATGGCTGCTTTTTTGTCGACGAGAAGGGGCATCACGGCATTTGTGTTGATGATGCAGCACTCTTGTGCAGAACCCTTGAGTTACTTAGAACCCTAAATTCGAGGGTCCTTGCTTATGGGGACCGCAAAACAAAGTACACTCAAACAGCACATCGTCAGTCAGCTGGAGCACCCGTTGGCTGGGTAATGCCTGTAAATAAATTGCCTGCGCGCATCATGAGCATCAGCTGGATGTTGCCTGTCGGAGGATTGCCTTGGCAGGGCGCATCATGAGGGTCAGCTGGATGATGCCTGTCGGAGGACAGCACCAGTGCGCATCATGAGCATCAGCTGGATGATGCCTGCCGGAGGATTGCCCTAGCAGCGGGCATCATGAGCATCAGCTGGGCATTGTCCTCCGCAGCATTGCCCTAGCAGCGCGTATCACGAACATCAGATCGCGCATCATGAGAATCAGCTGGATGTTGCCTACCGGAGGATCTCCCTAGCAGCGCGTCATGAGCATCAGCTGGATGATGCCTGCCGGAGGATTGCC